CTCTGACTCCACAGCCTACCATTTGGATGAGGATTGCATCCACCCCTGAAGCTTCTGGATAGTGAGAAAGCTGAGACACGAGCCAACGTAGACAAAGAATCGACCCTATTGTTCACTTGCTTCGCTTGCACGGGTGTCTGCCTGTAATCAAGAGTGCTTGGAGAGCCGCGTGGCACACACGGTGCAAGATGGGATGGACTGCGAGATTCCGTGTGAGTCTGCAAGGAGACATCAGTCATTTCCGTTGAGTCACCAAGAACCAAACTGATACTTAGTTAAAGTTAAAAGTTATTGTATCTTACACAGTACAAAACAAGGACACTCCAACAGAACATTAACTTTACTTCCTTCAGAGGGACAGACCTTTCTGTGGTCATGGGCACTGTGCAGGGTGTTCTACACAAGGCACTATGAATGTTATCAGCCATCAGCCATCTGTGCTGCTGCTGGAATTCATTTTGACTGTAAAAAGTTTTGCTATCCGTATTTTTATTCCAGACTTGAGACACTTGAAGTTTGGAGCTGTTGTCACTCTGAGTCCATGACTACCTAATGGTATGTTCATGGGTGTTAAGCCCAAAGATGGTGCTTTTAGAAGGAAATACTGGAAGTGGCATTTTATCAGGAAAGAGAGTGAACTGCCTTGTTCAGGGAAGCAGGAGGTATCTGCTGATGTGAGGGTGTGTAAGGTCTTTCCTACTGCCAAGCCCTAACAGAAAGGAAGAGTTGTTTGAGGGGAGAGAAATGCTGTCTTTGCCCAGGAAATTAGGTGCCTCTGCAATAGAAGACAAGAGGGGAAGAGCAGTTGCTATTCTAGACTCAGTATAATTTTCAATACTTCTAAAATTTCACTTCTTTTACAGTTTTTCTTCCTTTTTTTCAGCAACAAGCTATAATATTCTGAGTATATGAAGTCACACAGAAGCCTTTGGAGCTGTTACGACTGACTACTCCTGCAAGTGCAAGCCACTTCAGGACTGTGCACCTTGGGCCTCTTCACGCGTTGACCATCTTAGCTTGTAAATATATGTCATCAATCAATATTTTAAATGGTTTGGCCTTTAACCTTAACATCTGTTGCCAAAACAGTTCTCTGAGCATCTGTGACTAGCAGCTTTTTTCCCTCAGCTTTATGCTAACTGAGACCAGAAAAACAATGATAAAACATGCCCAGAGAAAATGCCCGAGTGGAATTACCTAAGTGGGGACACTGCCTGTGCAGGGAGAGCTGGCACAGCTAGAGCTGACTGCGTGCAGCCGTGAAGCATCTCAGTTGGAAAGAGGGAAAAGGGAGGAAGATCTCAGCAAACAATGGGTTCCTCTGACTGCAAAACATTCTTTTGCTCACTCTTACCCCGTCCTAAGCACAAACCTGCTTTGAAGTCAGACGCAAGGGATGGGAGCTTTTTAAATATTTCATTTTTTTCTGCGATTGGCTTTCATCCCTGACATATTTAAAATGTGCTTCAGCTTGGAGAAAGACAAAACTGAAACTCTCCAGGAATCCAAGTGATCCCTAAAGCCCAGAGCTCTGCACATTAATAATGTGGTTTCTTTGGGGGAGGGAGGAAAAAAAAACCCCAAAATAAAAACCCAAACCATGAACATTTTCATCTTTTCAAGTGAAATCAAGAGGATATAATATCCTGTATTTATCCATATATATCCTATATAGAGTATTATAGCTGATTTCCCCAGAAATATTACCTCTGCTTATTTGAAAGAGGAAATGTGCAATCACTGCAGACTATAGG